TGAGGGTCAAATTCCCCGCAGTGGAGCGTGTAATAATACACAGTATCCCTGGATTCAACTCACAGGCCAACAAGGTTCACAAGAGCGAGTGAGCGAAGGCGATCGAGCGGCCGTTTTCACACGCACATACCTTGAGCCAAATGTTATGGCATGTCAATGCTTTGCGTAAGAGCATATCGCAAGATACTGTAACCAAGTTGAAGCAATAGCGCAAATGGGGGCCCAAAAGACAGAAAACATGGGGGGGGGCTGTTGTAATTTCGTTCTTGTTTTCACATACGTCTCATGAGCACGAAGGCGCAAGACGTAGCCACGGCGCGTGCTTTAGTTTTGTTGTTTCGGTTATCGGGTGTTCCTTGTCCTCCTCATTTTTTGTGTTTTCCTCCTTTGTGGTGTGTCAACCCTTTTTCATTAGACCACTACGTAGACGGCTTAACTTGTGATTGTTCTGACCCTTTATATAGTTCTTTTTGTTCACAAAGCAGTTTTGGGTTCAGACCGTGGCTGGGAAAACTGGGAGCAGGTGTTAGAAACTCGTCTTTCGTTGTTCGCACTTTGGTGCAATGTGTGGTTGAGGTTTTCTTTTTCGAAAAAGCGGGAACTAACTCCTTTTCTGTTGGTGACTGTTGGTGTTGAGTTGGCGTTTGTTGCGTAGTTGTAGCAGCTCCATGTCCGATATGGGTGCGCCGCCGCTGACTTGCGCGACAGCGGCATCGATGAAAAACACTTGCACTCGGAGCCTGACTGGGGACAGCTAGTTACACAAAAAAGGCAACTTGAGGTGTCACGAAAAAGTTTTTTATTTAGGCAAAACGCATGACAAAGCACTGCGTTTACCAATGGGTTTGACATGAAAACGTGCAAAGTAGGGTACGGTTTCCAATCCGTACGGTCGTTTTTGGATGTCCCGGGGGGGGCTGGACATGTCGGTGACATAAACGCTATAGATAGATCAGATGTTTGTTGTTATGTGGGCTTGCCTGGCTTCGCATGCTGTGTTGTAGGAGGTCCCAGATCATGAGTGCCGGGGTGGATTGCTTTTGTTTGGTGGTGGCACCGCTACTAGGAGCAAGAAACTACTAGTAGCTCCTGGCCTTACTACGAGTAACAAGAAGCTACTAGGAACACAGGGCATCGCTACTAGGAGCAAGGACGCTACTAGTAGCGGTTGCAGAGAGTTCCACTTTTGGACTTGAGAACGCCAGCTCCAACGCACGCCGCAATGAGGGGTCTTGATTTTTAGCGTAGCGGCTTAGCCTAGCGGCCTAGCGCTTCGGGTCCAACAACGGCACCCAGAGAGAGGGAGAGAGAGAGAGAGAGAGAGAGCCAAGCCAGCCCACCACGGCAACCAAGCGAACGATTTTTGGAAAGGAACTCAGGTGACTCAAACCGGGGCTTGAGTGATCAACAGGTCTACAGTAAGCTCTTCTCTTTTAGGTGTATATTTATAAATATATGACATGTACATGTTACATATGTATATACATACGCACGGACACACACATATATAATATATACATTTGTGTGTGTGTGCGTGGGAATGATACAGGAACACTCTGCAGGAAAACCCTGAGGGTTTGCAAGTGATCGGCAAGAGGTCAGCAACATCAGAACACGGGATCACTGAGCATCGCTGTATCATCCACAACCATCGTTCTCTCAAAATGCTGCCAGGGCCGAATCGACGTATGTATATAATCAATGCACATGGCCAGAATGACTAGAAGCGAGACATGCACACAGTGCAAGAACACACTTTGCAAGCTGATGTGCACGCAGCCTCAGCTGCTTGATGGTCCAGGTGTACAATGAGCAGATCAGAGATTTGCTTCAACCCAATGCACCTCGGCAAGGTGTTTACGGCACGTGCTTGATTTTCAGTCTTGCCTCCACATTTAAGGCCCAAGTGCAGAAACCCAAGAGAGTCCACTGCAACATCCTCAGAGACTTGCCAAGCAACTCAACATTGGCATTAGTCACTAGTCCCACTTCTGCTGCGCTTTTCTGAGAGTGGTTCATGACTCAAGGCCACCCCAAGCACGGTGCGCGCATTGAAGGTTTGACCATGCTGGGAGCTTGTGACAAACGGAAGACCTTGCAGTCAAATCTTGTGCACATCTGCCTTTACACAGCATTGGCCCAATGCATCTAAAGATCCATTGCCAGAATATTTGCAGAGGGGACATTGACCTATCCTCACCACCATATGTCACTCATAGTGTCACTCATTTGCATGCATGTACTTTCTGGCCTTTGACACGGGTGTTAGGTTTGTGAAGCCGAGCCAAGGTCTGTCGTAAGCTCCGCGGAAGAAGTCATGGAGCTTTTGCACTTTGGGAATCAAATGCGTACGGTGGCAGCGAGGATCTCAGAATCTCAGAACGAGGACCATTTCATGAACCTTCTCGGTTGTATACGTAAGGGCCCTTTGACAGTGTTCCGTATTCCTCGATTTCGCCATTGCACTTGTTTTGTGCAAGGCGACCACAATGTCTGAACCCAAGCCATGAAGGGCAATGGAGAAGACTCCTGGGGCATTCGCTCACATCTGAGGAATTCTCGCTCTTCTCGCAGTCACGCCTTCTTCAACTTTAAGCTGGGTTCCCACCAATGATGTGATTCGCAGAGTTCATAGGCTGAGACATCGCTTCTCCAAAGAGCTTGCAGATGAGGTATGAACAGATTGGCGAAGAGCCACCTGAACAACCAGGCACAACGCAGCGACTCACAGCCGCTCGCCCTGCGAGAAATAATAGGAACGCCCCGTGATTGTGAGGACCTCCACCTCCTCCGCAAGCACGGGGGAAAGAACGCCGCGTGACCATCGCTGCACCAGATCCTCCTGGGGGTGGTTCTTGCATGAGCCGATGACCTCAGCACTTATTGCAAGTACGGGATGTGTGAAATGGCCATGAGAAATGCCATATGTCAATGCGCATGAACTGAAGCACACTTAAGCCGTAAGTGCTCCTTTTGCATGCGTTTTTTTCACCACGTGACCTCTTGATGCTTTGAGACTGTGAAAGGTGCTGTCACTTTTGTCGACCTCGCCGGACGCGAAGAACGTGAACGGTTGGGGAACCATCCGGGCGCGATGCAGTGAAGCACTCAGCGGTCTGGACGGAGCTCGGTGACCTCTGACCTGGGTGACCTGTCGTTTGAGCTTCGCAACTTGGAGTTCGACTGAGGTACAAGGAGATGTGCTTCATCAACACCTCTTTGTTCCACTTGGCGCACCTCATTACCAAAATCTCTCAAGGCGGAAGACAAGAGCATTCTGGTTGCTTGTTTTAGTCTCACTTTGTGTTGACGCGCCGTGTGTATGTGTAGTACAGCAGGTTTAGCCTGGATAGAGATCCATCTTTTCATGGAACGCGTGCTGATGTGTGCTGATTCGTGTGCGGGATTCTTTTTGTTGGGCCATGAGGTGGGCTGTCCAACAACAACTTGTCGGATTTCAGGAACTCCAAGGCGTCCAAGCTTGAAGCTACTAGAAACAAGGGCATCACTACTAGCAGCTAGAAGCTATTAGGTTGGAGGCCATTACCACTAGTAACAAGAAAGCTATGAGTAACTACACATTCTTTCTAGACGACGCCTCGGTCGTGATGGGAGCGGTGTCGGGTCGTGGTGCCGCTGGGGGAGTTGGCTTCCACAGGTGACGATGCTGCTGTCACAGGCCCTGCAAGGCAACTCACGAACGGCAGTAGTGGCCACGCAAGGTTCTGAGTGTGCTTTCGGTGATGATTTTGTTGACAGCGCAGTGGAACGCAGTGGATATTGTTTGCCACCTGTGCTACTGATTGAATTGCTTGCCTCCGAATCCGTGCTTTTGCTCAGGTTGTCGCCATGCCAGTCAGCCTTTGAGGATTCTATGCACCTCTGGCGCGCTTAGTTATGACAAGGCAATGCAAGGCCTTCTTGAACTGAGGTTTTCCAAGAGAGAGAGAGAGAGAGACGAAATCAAACAATCTTTTAGTCAGGTCGACGCTGCATCCTGGCTGCAGCGAATCATGCAGAAGCGATAAATGCCAACCTTGAAAATAGCAGTTGCAGAACTATAGCAGTTGCAGAAATATATGGAACGAGCTCTTTTGAAAAGCGGATCCCCGTTCACAGGAATTTCGCAGCCTCTGCAAAGAAGATCCAGACGAAGCCAGTGGAAGCCTCAGGTACTTTTGGCCAATGCCTCAGTGACACTTGACAGCGCCTTATCATGTACTGGAAATTGTCAGGTGGTGAATTCCAAATCGGCCACGGAGAAGCTTGCAGAGTTGGAAAATGAAGCAACACACCTAGCAGACTGAATGTTTTGGCACTCCATGTCAAAGGTAAGGTGAAACCAGTAATGTACGTACAGGTTGTTTGCGCGGATGGCTTTGAGGTCCACAGCCTACAGGTTGAGTTGGCACAGAGCAAGACCAGCAACACAGAGAAGGACGGATGCAATTTACAATGTGCAGACGCTCAGCTGGAACAACAAAAATCGAGAAACCGCGCACAACATATTTGCGCGAGGAGCAAGAGCTATTGTCCGCACAAGCCTGGATCAACTATTACAAGCGCTCCTGGGAAGAGGCAACGCCTCATGAAGTAGAAATGTGTGACATGTGATGAATCTGAATGCGTTCTTGGTGCTTTTCATGCTATTTTGTTTTTCAGGCTTGCGCACGTTCTGAGCAAACCCAGAAAGCAAGGCCCATCATGCGTTCCAGATGTGCATCTGCTTGTGCCGCAAATGCCTTTTGGAGGACCCGGAGTGCCAAGCGGCTAGGACTGACGCAGAGTGGAAGGTCCTGGCCCTGGTCCCTTGGTCACTGTTCTCTATGGTGATGATGTCAGGTCACTGCAAATGTTAGTGCCAAAGCGTTGAAAGATCCAGAGTCATGCAAGTCATGCAACTTCGCAAATCACACGAGTGACTAGTTAGTTAGAATCCGCCATTGGCTCGAGCATTTGATGTAGTTAGATTCTAATAGATTCTGCGCTCCTGGGACGCCATGCGAGCCACCAGCAACTTGGCAAAGCTTGGCAGGGCCAACTTTTGAAGCTCCGGGGCTTGACCAAACATGTGCCTTACTAGTAGTAACAAGTGCATCGCTTCTAGTAACAAGTGCCAAGTAACTAGTGCCTTACTGAGGGTTTGACCAAACATGCGCCATTGCTGCTAAGGACACCTGTGCGCCCTTTTGGTGGCGGTGACGGTCGAGGTTGGGACATCGGTTGAGCAAGAACTCTAAGTGGTTCGGTTCAAACATGAGCACACCTGCACTGGCCCCAGGTTGAATTTTGTTTCTTATCCTTTTTGGAAAGATGTTCCATTCTTACTGATGCTGGACTCTTGTCATTCCCAGGCTGCTTACAATACCCTCTCGTTTGTTGTGCCTTTTGCTATATTTGTTTTCTCTTTTTTCCAACATGGTTTCAAGTGTGTCCGGCATTTTTCGTCCAGCGATCAGCACAAGCAGCCGGGAAGAGTCACGCAGTTTTTCAGGTCTTGGCGGCCCATGAATCGCGCATCATAGGACTTGATGACCCATCAGGCCTCGTACATGCTGCCAGACAGGTTTTGTGGTAGTTTTGTGGTACTGATGCGATCTGTGGTCGCAGGTGATGATCTTCCCGATCTTTGGCTACACAAATCGTCATGCAGTCACAAGCAGTTTGCTGGAAAGACATGTGCTGTTGAGCATGCGCATGATTCTCGTGAGCAAGGACCCCTGGACCAGCCAACCGTCTAGAAAGAAGAAACGGAAGGATGACCGGACTATGGAAGCTGCAACTTGGACGGAATGCTTTGTGAGCAAGGTTTCTGGAGCTTCTTGCCGTACGATATCCGAACATCGGCTCAGGTGCTGCGGCAGATGTGGGGATCAGCCAAGTGGCCACCCAACGAGAAAGGGCCGAACCCACCGGACAACAGCACCGAATCACTGGCAGGCACGGCTTGAGGATCAGGTGAGAACCGGTCAGAGGCAAAGAGTCATTGCGTCAGGCATGCGCTTTGGAGCCATGTTGGTTACCTTTGTGATTTGCTTTGCGGTTGGCTTCACTGTGGCAATGCGTCTGGCGCCCAGAGTTGCCCGCAATACACGCAAAGATCGTAAAGAGGCCTAAGGCTTCCGACAATTCCAGCGTGCTTGGTGGATCCAGTGGATTTACATTGAGCCACAACGACCCACACACACACACATTATCACACACAGATATATATATATATATATACAGTGTGTATATTATATATATAATATATAGGTATCGTTTCACCACCAATTATTCTTGGGAAGCAGAAGTGGCGCAATCGAGTCAAGGCACTGCAGCGCGGGACTATCGGTCGTCTAAGCTTCCATTGCATTTCCAGGCATGAGAGGGGGGCATTGCATTTATGGCCTTACGCAAACCTAGGGCGCCACTAGGAGCAAAGGGCATCGCTACTAGGAGCAAGGACGCTACTAGGGGCTCCTGGCCTCAATACTTGGAACAATGTTTTCTATTAGAAACAATGTAATTATGGGGGCGATTTACCATCGTTGATCCTCTTTCGGGGGTTGATGAGTTTGTCCAGTTTGTTGACGAGTGCTACGATATAGGATGGGGCACGTTTGCAACAGGCACTCGTGGCGGCCATTTTTTGGCGTCACACCCACCGACGAGCCTCGGCAAGCTGGAGTCAGACTTTGCATGCTTAAGGGCCCTGAAATGAGTCCTGTGCAGAAGTTTGATGTTTGGTTGAGGCGCAATCTTCATGCATATGATCCGGGTAGCCATACCCGTGCTGATTTTAGTTGGCATCAGCAGGACTGCCTGAGCCGATGACATGCATATGCGCACAAGTTTGCATTTCCTGCCGGCAGGATGCAGTCGTTTCTCATTAGGCAAGTTGGCCGTGATGACTCGCAGACTTTCTTGGAAATGCGCTCTGGCTGGAATGGGCACCATGGACGTGTGGCACCTTTCGCAGGTAACTAGCTTGCAACTTGCACAAAGTGTGTTCAGGACTGGCCTGTCACCCAAGCATGTGGTAGATGGAATTGTGGTGCCTTGGCATCAATGCTGCCAAGCAGGAATCAACGGACTGAAGTTGTGAGATTTGCCAAGGCATACTGCTTAACTTTGGCGATGGTCTATGTGGATGGGCTCTTAGCTGATGTGTTGTGTTTCCACAGATGGAACCCTTGGTGGCTCCAGGCCATGGTCTCTATGCTTTTTTTTGTTTGGCACCTTTGCTGCAGAAGGACAAGATGAGATGATATGAGATGCTAGCAACTGCTAGTACTCAAAGGCACTCAAATCCTCATAGTGAGCGCAACCTTGCTTTGGAAAGGCATGTGGCTGCAGAGAAGCAATCCGGCTTTCGGCACCTTTTGCATGTCAGCGGCTTGTCGCGTTCAGCGCAACCTGGCGGCAAGACTGACCGCTGCTTTGGAACGATATTCAATGGGTTGGAGTCGAAGATGCGGGAAGAAATTGGTCTTTTTGCTTTTGTCTCACCGTGTGCCATGCTTTTGCGCTGTGCTCGGCCCGTAGCTGTTTGCTCAAAGCAGCAAAACAGAGGGTGATATGTCAGCAGCCGATCCCAAGTCTTGAGTTGCGGTTCAGCAACAAACCCTTCGGCTTCAAGATGTTGGCAAAGGAGTATTTGTACAGTTGCATCGGGGTCGCCAGTCTGCAACATGAGACCTGCTCACTTGTGAAGATGCCATGATTTCTGCTGACATTTCGTCAGCGTCGGGTCCTGCCACGATTTGTCAGGTCGGAGTCCTGGCAACGGGGTTTGCCATTTTCATCGACAAGACCAGTATGATAATGATCAAGGGTCTGGCTGCAAGCTTAGAGTGGACAATTTGCTGGGCGATCGCTGTGAACTTGACTTGTGACGAACCACTTCAAGAGTGCCAGAGGTGTACACAACCTCATCAGACAATTTAAGCCGGCTACAGCGGACCTATTTGACAGCCACTTGGTTAACATGAAGTTTCGATTTCAATGTTCTTCCGTGAGGTTGCTCAAGACATCCTATCAACATGTTACCTCAGTGCAGGCTCCCTTCACTGCACTAAGGCCTACTTATGTGCAATGATGGCTGACTGGCTTCAAGGGCCTTTTGTGTATGCCCTGTATGCGTCCTACGGTGCCTCGGCCGGCCATCGCAGACGGCTGCAGACTGCCGGTCGCGTTGCGTCTCGAGGCTTCTCACGGGAAGACAATGCCACACTCTTTGTGGCCGGCTTTGGCAGCAGTGCGATCTTTGGGACCTTTGTGGGTTCATTGGCGGACAAATATGGACGCCGAAACTTTGCGGTGACTCGGCTTTTTTTTGGGAGTGTCCGGGAGTGTCAATGGGGTTGTCGTTTTGGCGGAAATCCGTTTTTGGTGCGCCGAATGTAGTTGTAGCCACTTTGGATCGCTTGGGTACGCCAACACCAAACAAAGCCGAGGGGCTGTACTGCCTGCTCTACCTCCTGCCGCAAGCTTGGAGTGGTAGGATCTGAATTTCCACGGTTGTAGGCGATCAGAGAATTGTACTATTTAAGACTACTTTTTACATATACTGTATATATATATATATATATGCATGCACAACTGAGTCTGTGACACTCCTCATTGAAGCTAGTGACTATAGTGAGTGCTGAGAGTTGGTGTTTTCAAGGTCATGCCTCACGAAGCACTTCAAGTCTTTTGGAATGTTGATGGTGGGGCGCATAACAGGAGGAATCGCGACTTCGCTTTTATTCAGTGTGATTCTTGGTTGCAAGAAGATCTATGCATTGTTGTCGGTAACAGGTGTAGGGATCTTCACTCAACACATTTTGTGTGTTTGTGCTGCCTAGCCTGGCTCAAAAGCACATCCTGTTTGAGCCTGTCAAGACCTGCCAAAGACTGGTTTCCAGCAGAATGGGAAGACGTATAGCATTGAACTAGTTGCCAGGTCCTAACACTGGGGTTCAAGAAAGCTTGCACTTTCCTTTGCCATGATGTCCGCGTTCGATGTGAAGCCATTTAGCCTTTGCTCATGTCTGAGCTGCCGAAAGTGGTGAGCTTTCTCAAGCTCCAAGAACGGCAGCGTCCGCTGAGCGATGCCCTACATGACCTGTTTGAGAGCGAGAAGTCCACAGAGCCTCCAGCGCCTCCAGCGCTGAGCGGTGTTCCGCACTTCCAAACGAAGGGCGGAACACCGCACGGTGCGCCTCCGAGTTTTAAAATTGGGCCGATGTTTGGACGAAAGGAAGAAGAAGCCGCATCAAGTGCGCAGTGTGCACGAAGGTCTTCCTGGCTGAAGCCATCAAAGATTGAAGAAAATGCTGCGTATCATGCTTTGATGAAAGCAGTGCGAGAGGGAAATGATTTTCAAGTCCAAGAGGTGTTGCAAGTTGCGTGCAGTGAGGACCTCTTACAACGCAAGGACGCTGATGGTCACACTGTTCTGCATTTGGCTGCAAAGTTCTCCGCAGCTGAATCAAATGCCTCCATTTTGTCCTACTTGCTGCACTGTGAGGCTGATCCTGAAGCAAGAAATCTTTTGGGTGAGACGCCCTTAATACTTGCAGTGCGTGAAGCGCTGGATGGAAAAGAGGATCCCCAGTGGCTTGGTTTGGTTTCGTGCTTGTTGGAAGGTCGTGCCGATCCCAATGCTGCTGATGACCTCAATGAGGAAACACCCTTGATGGAGGCGGCCTGCCATGGCAACCAGGAGATGTGCCAACTTCTTTTGAGATTCAATGCAGATGTGTCGAAGAAAGCAGCTACGGGGGCCACCGCGGCGGATTTCGCAGCCAGTGAAAGCTGTGAAGGACACCAAAAGGTTTTGAAGACACTGCAGCACTTGTCGGAGCAGGCAGACCGGCGCACGCGGCGCGTGCCGCGGACAGGCCCCGAGGCTTCATTCCAAGCTGCGGAGGGAGCGCCATTTGCCACTGCAATGGGTTTCAACACATGGTCTGGAGGCCTATCAGACAGGTGGCAGGCACCAAAATCTGCCAAAGCTGCGGACTCCAATGATGGGAAGGAGCAGAGAGAAGACTCTACATCTGCCCCAGGTCCACAATTTCCTGACTTCACGCCGCTGATTTTCGGTGCGCAGACCCCTTTCTTCCACTCCAATGCCTTTGAACATGGCTACCGAAATGGCCGCGCAGAGCGTTATCCTTTCGAAGAGAGGTACACTCCCCAACCTGTGCGCCATAAGGCACGTCACGAGAAGCATTTTGTGACCTTGGGTCTCTCCTGTGAGGCATCTGCAGAAGAAGTTCGCGCTGCCTACAGGAAGTTAGCCAAGCAATTCCATCCAGATAAGAATCAAGGCAGCAAAGAAGCTGCCGAACGGTTCCGTGAGGTCCGTAAGGCTTACGAGCAGCTTTCGGCCGGCACATAGATTCGGGAGGCTTGAGACCTGGACACACAATCCATTGAGAGAAGCGAGAATGTCTAGAAAAGATGCATTTCGACAGTTCTGGTGGGCTGCATGCTGGGAAAGGAAATCATATAGCTGACATGGTCACGGTGCAGTGGTCTGAGGTTTGATTCATGGTTGGTTTCAGAGCACACTGCTCGTGGCTTTCACGGAGAGCAGACACTTGAACGCACCGAGCCGGCGTTCTGTGTGCATTTGTGCAGTGTGAGATGTCACACCACAATGACCTTGTCAAAGTCTTGCTGTCGGACAATGCTTGTGGTGGTTTTGTTTGAGTGTCGTTCTTGTTTCCTTAGGTTGAGTGCCTCCTTTTCCATCGCTTTCTTTGGGAACAGCTTGGTGGCTATCTTGGCCGGGCAGTTGGGTCAGTACACAGCTGACCTAATACCCCTGACACAGCTGTCAGGCAGTCACTCGAATCAAGAAGTGCATGCTGGGATCAGGCCATGCAACTTATCGCTCCTCAGAGCAGCCTCGCTTCCGAGCTGAGGCATACACTATGGTGGCTACACTGCCCCCTTTGTCACAGCCAATCTCTTCCTGGCACCTGCCTTTGGCACGTCGCATACGTTTCACACATTCCACACATCGCCCTCCACAGCTGCACACCATTGTCTCTTCTAGCAGGTTGCTGAAGTAACTAGCTAGCTTTAGCTATGTATTTTGCCAAGGTTTTGTGCTTCTCGCTGATGATGTCAACTTGGTCCGAAAACTTCGGCTCAAGCTCCAAGGACCGAAGGTTGGTGCTTTCCGGCCGCCCAACAAAAAGAACCGACCCCCTCGTCGTGACGGACAGGACACAGACAGCAAGAATGAGGGCTTCATGGGCGCTGCACAGTTGACACTTGTCAGTGGATGATTCGAATCACTTTTCATGGGATTGAGATGGATCGAGAAGTTTTCGCAGCTTCTTGCTAAGGGTGCTCCAACAGCCATTGATTGGACTCTGTGGCTTGGTTTGCCACTTGTCTTCCCAATAGCTCCGGTTCAATGTCCAGCAAGGAGGCAACAGCAGGCACAACTTGAATGCATTCATGGGCATTCTAAGAACGGCAGCAGTCAAACCAACCTTGCATAGAGGAGTTCCTGTGCTCGGTCATAGTTCCCGTGCTTGGTCAAGGTTGCCTCTTTGAATCATCGATGTTCATTTTCGTCTTCAACTGGACCCCTGTGCTCATGGAGGAGCCTTCTTCAAGTGTAGACACGAGCGGAAGGCTGGCCTCTGGCCTTCGTCCAATTCTTGGCCAGGAGGGTGAGCCAGATCCTCCGTTTGGACATATCTTCTCTGGCTTCATGATCATGTGCATGTTCGGCCCCTTGCCTTGGTTGTAGGATACTGCATCGAAGCACCTGATTTAGCTGCCGTCCACAGTTGAGGCAGTCGCTTGTACTCCTTGGCAAGCCACCGCTTTAGTAATGAACGAATTGGCAACTTGGATGCGCTTTAAAGATCTTTAGCGGCAGGTGTGGTAGCGCCCTATGTAGCGGACGTGTGCTTGAACGACCTGCTAGTGAGCTGGACTGCCAGGGCTTTACACCCTGTTCATCTCTGCGGCATGCCATGCATGTGTTTTGCTCACAGATTCTGTATCAATCCGCTTGCCTCTTGGCAGATATGTGATATGTCACTCAAAATGGTCCTTTTGGTCGTCTTGACGAGACTTTTACCACAGCCTTGAGCCGAGGCTAGGCTTCTTCGTGTTTGAAATGTGCGTTGGGCTGTACTTCCCTATGATGGGCACCATGAAGGGGCAGATTGTCCCTGAGTTGCCATCTCAGATGCTGACATGCTGCCTTCATGCAGAGTGAACACATGTGAGCACCACGGCCCACATGGAAATTGCAGCAGTGGCTGGGTTCCCCCAGCCACTGTATGAGGTCCAAGAGAGCTACAATTTACAACTTATACCGGTTGCCATTGAATGTGATTGTGGTCTTGACCCTGATGCTCCAGTTGGGGGCTTCTACCTCCTTCTTTGTCCCGCCCCCGGTGAATGATCATGGTTAAGACAAGATCTTTGTCAGAACCAGTTGAGAGAGAATGTGAACCAACTGTTTCACAGTGCCATGTTGCATTTCCACTTTGTTTATTGCCGCGGTGTCTCGCCAACCTGTGAGATCACCAGTGTGATGCTCGCAGTTGCTGCCGCTTGTCAGGCTGGGTACTTTGCTGAGAGTGAGCTTTCATGTTAGTGTGTGTGTGTGTTTGTGAAACCCGTGGAATCACGGGAGCCTTTTGGTTTTAAGAGCAGGGGAACGGTGGGCAATCTTGAAGTCACCGCTCAACGAAGACACTTCAAGTTTGCTGTGATATGCAATCAGATTACACGTACCTGCGAGAGAATGATCACCTGTTATTTCCTCCTTGGTCCCGTTTGTAACTAGAACAGTGTATTCAGCCTTGGCAGAGGTTCTTCGTCGGCAGATGTGCATTTCGAGTCTTGAGCTTTGGAACTTTGGGGTCTTCTCCCCTTACATGTATCCCTCAGGACTATGGGTTCCCTAGGTCGCCGTGTGGCGAATGGCTTTCATTTCCGTATGCATTTCCCAAGTGTGTGTGCCTTTGCGTGTGTGCAGCACAGAAGCCGGCCAGTTTCTTATTTTGGGGCTTCCTCCGCCCCTGCGACAGGTTCGCATCATCAAGCTGGGCGGTGCTAGACCAGTCACTCTTCCAGTACCCATCGAGGAGGATGAGGAGAAGCAGGAGCTCAAAATTGGGAAGCCAGAGGAGATGCAGGTCGAAAATTGAGCAAATTCATGCGTGCTGCCCAGAAAGGGCAAGCTGTTTCAATCTCCCACAGCATCACAGCCCCTCACGGCTGAAGAGAAATGGTCAGCTTAAAAGGCCGCGAAGCATTGAAGTGCCTCAAAGAAGCATGGAGCATTGACCATGGTGTGATGTTCGTAGTGGAATTGGGGTTGGGCGTGCCCCCTATTCAAACCGTGTGGGGTGTCCACAATTTTATTGGCGAGTCAGGTATTTGCTTGCCACAGCTGGGGTGGACGGAGTTCTGCAGGCCGTGCTTTTCGGAGTTCTGCAAACCAACTTTGCTCCCAGCTCATCGAACAAGAGGATGTGTGTCAATCAACCGTTGTCCATTGTTTTCCTGAAAAAGGGGCCCAGAGTATGAGAGACGGTTATTTACAACCACGTATATATATATATATATTGAGTCGTTCAATTGATTCGGGAAGTACTTGTCACTTTTCACACACATGCCAGATCTGACTCTTTCTTTTTTCGGCAGGCCGGATTGGGCATGCTTCTCATGGTGTTCGTGTCCGGCACGCTGCTAGAGGTACAGCTCAGGGATTATTTGAGAGACCGCCTTCGCATGTTTTGAGGGTCTCCAGACCTGATGTAGATGAGGTGCCCTTGGTGTTGTGGACCTCTCCAGTGCTCCTTTTCGCTGGTAAACTCAGAATTCAGACACCAAGTGACCAAGGGTCAGAATTCAAAGTTCCTTTTTCTTGGTCACATCTGGCAACATAAGGTGACGATGTTGCTTTTGGCCATCGCTGCGACCACGATTCTTGACAAACTTTGGAGTTTTGGAGTGGGGAAGTGCAATAGATCTTTCATGACTGCTTTGCGATTCTAAGGATGGGATACCTGATATGCTTGCTGTGCCCCAGCGCACGCTTCGCCAGCATGTTTGCTCAGTTCACCCTGGCCTTGAACTGAGTTCCCTGCAGTGGCACAGCAGCGAGGAATCTCTTTCTTGTTTCGAGTCATCATGGACGAAACCAAAGCCAAAATGGCCCTGGCCCTGCAATGTGTATCGTGCATGCATGGTTTGTAAAGAAGACACAAGGCCACTGGTCAAACCGCAACGGTGCAAGGGGTCAGAAAAAACATGACCACCATCATATCACATAAGGCCTGGGTGATTTTCGCCGCACCTGTGAGCCCAGCTGCTTCTGCCATTTGGACAACATGGGTTTTCGTTCAGCCCATGGTTGCCATGGTTTTTGAATGAGTTTGGCCACAAGGGATGTCCAAAGTGCGTGATTGACACACTGAGTCACTGAAGCCAAGGTGGTGCCTGCAGTCCCTTGGTCTTTGTTGGCAGGCACATGGGTTTGATTCGGCAATGTTCCTTCCACCATCTCCCCAAGGCTCACAAACAAGCTTGGACGCCACTGCTGCTTCCTGTTTCTTGACAACTTGAATGGTGCGGACTTGTTGTTGTATAAGCGTGCAAGTGCCAGGAAGGCAATTTGTCAGTTTTTCCAATTCCAAGGTGATCCCATCCTACAGGGCCACCTTTGAGCTGGTTGCTGCATGCGTGAAGGGCAGATGTTTGGCTGTGGAAGATGTGAAGCTCGGTTGCGCTAGCTTTTGATGGTGAGCCTACATACTTTTGGGTCAGGTTGTGTATGGTTGTGTGATGCGGAACTTGACCAGAGTGACTTTTGACCTGCAATGACCAAACGTGAGGATCGATGCGTTGAACCATGGAAGGCCCATTTGGCAAGTGAACCGGGGGCATTGTGATGGTTGTTGTGTGCTGTGTGCTCCACCCCCGACCTGTGAAACACAAAGTCTTTTCACATCAAGTCTTTTTGCTTGTTTCGGCTCAAGTTAGGATGAAGTTCCTTGAGTTGTTTGCGCAATGCGGCTCAGTTCCATTGTGTCGCCAGCACAGCTCCCGACATTGGTGCTGCTAATTGCAACTTGTTTGAATTGTTGCAGAGCAGAGAGCTTGCGAACGTACCAAAGACAGCTGCATCGGGCGGGCGGGTATGCAGGAATTCCATTGAACTGAGGCTTTAGCTAGAGTGGCTTTGGCAATTAGAGATGAAACTATGGGGAGCCAGCTGGAAGAAGGTGTGCAGCACTCACCCAAGAAGATACTTCATGCGCATCCTGAACCAAATCATTCCGCGCAGTCTGGGATGAGCATGGCGCAGAGCCTTGGTTCAGATGGGTGTTGTGAAAGCTACTAGTCTTTGCAATTCCCTCCGAATTGCCGGACCGCTACTGTTGCTGCAGTCCGTATGAGCTTCAGACATGTTCAGATAGCTAGCTCATAATAGGTTGTCAGTGGCGCTTGCACTTCAGTGTGTGCTCAAGGACTGCCGAGGGCCCAAATGCCCACTTTGTGCCTGTGAACCCCGTAGCCATGACGGTAGCGGTTGCTGAGACCGGAATATTGCAACTCGTCAAGAAGTGAAACATCCTGAAGGACAACTCGTCCACTTGAGACGTTCATGTTCGTAGCGGGTATTAAGGACAACTGTGGAAGCACAAGTTCGATTTAAAGGAGGTGGAACTTGTCTCGAATCACTGACCATCCCACCAACTCCTGGCGTTCAATTGAAGCCCGACTGGTACAGATCTCAGTTGTTGCATAGAGAGAGGGCCAGCACTGTGTACTATGATGTGCTATGCAATGATTTACTTGTCAGGCTTTTTGGGGTTGGCTGCAAGCTGGACAAGGGCGCGTTTTGCAAGTGTCCCTGGGCTCCGCTTCTCAGTTGCAGTGGAAAGCACCGTGAGACAAGCTGACACAAGTTCATGTACAAGTTCCAGACATGAAATTTAGTTGCTTGACCTGATCCCCTTTAGGATCTATGGCTGTCAAACGCCCCTCGGCTAACGTTTTCCCAGTGTTTGAGTGTTTAGTTTTAGAACGTTTGATTTCTTTGTTTGGCGATTTTTCATGTGGGGAAGCGCCTTCCACTCAGGTCTGGTATGTTCGGTCTGCCAGGTGGAATAACCACAGCAACTTGCCCTGGCAGCTGGTGAGAACGCACCGACCACGCACCAACCCGCGGACCAGCCGGTTTTGCGTTCTCCGAGGACATCATCCAAAGGATGGGCTTTTGCCGACTCGAGCCATGGGTGGTGATTTTCCCCTCGGAGCCCTGGTTGCAGGGCAGTTCCAGCAGAGTGCAGTGATCGGTGATGATGCTGACCCTGAAGTTGAGATCCTGGGGTAGACGAGTTTAAATTCAAAATCATTCTCCAGTGTTTTTGCTGGTGCCTGGGCATGTGGTCAGGTTGCTTTGGTTGGAGGCATCATCTACTTCATGCCAAGCTCTCGAAGAGCAACATAGCAGCAACGGCACCTGCTCGTATTTGCACTGAAACACCGGGGGGAAGCGCGGGATTTCGACCAGCAATTGAACTGAGGCAGAACCTTCCGGATCGTCAGGAAGCCCGCGAAAGTCTGACAAGTCTGAGGACTCTGAAAGCTAGGTCCTAAAGAGATTAATTAGCAAGACTGCAAGAGATTTCTGCACGAATAGAAGATTCCATGTTAAGTCCACCGCGAGCCTTTGCTGGGTGCTTTGCGGTTTCCTGGCAGTGCCCTGCTCTTGCGCAAAAGGGCGTGACATTTTGCCAACATTTCACCACTCCGAACATTGAGCCGCACACCTGACAATGAATTTATCAGTGAAAGCAGATTCTGCAGGTGGGCAGGCCCATACACTATGTTCTTTGGAGCTTCGTCTGCCTGGCACCCAGAGGAGACCGGGAGGATCAGGGAGACCGATGGAGATCGAGGAACTGGACTTGAACCCTGCAGAGTCGCTGATCAGTCTCCTCTTCATGACGGTGACGCAAGTGTCAATAGGACTGATGGACGCATGTCAGAGAGATGGAAAGGGCCTCGAAACTCACTTCAACATCGCACAGCTGCGCAAAACACAACTTTTGGTTCCGCCCTTGAATCAGAGCTTGCTCATGTTGATTCAGCAGGAGTTTTGCTGGTTACATTGGCCGACAGGCCAGTCATCTCATTCCTACAGATGTTAGACTGCGGTAGCAGCACACTGATGAACTTGCAGGCGCCTTTACCCGGATCTCAACAAGTCAGGCCACCTGGTCGGTGTTGTCCTAGAGAAGCGTAAGGCATGTTGGGATGTTTGGTGAGGTATGGTGGCTCCTGAGAGCACGGATCAGGATCTTCTTCTTCAGGCGAAAGGCGGCGAGCGCTGTGTGTGTTGTTTTCACTTGCGTATCTTGGCTTTCGCTGGCAGGTCTATGGCACAGCATCTTGGAAGCACGGTGTGTTGACGCGAGGCCGTGTCTAGCATTGGTCAACTGATTGAGGCTATGGTTGGCTCTCTGGCCGACAAGCAGAGACCCTCACCTTGCAGGGAGTGCCGTGGCAGTAGAGCCGAGCAGCGGAAGTGGTCTGAACTTCGGTAGTTGTTGTAACCAAATCAGGCCACCCAGTGCCACCCAGGCCATCTCATCATTGAGCCCAGGTGAGTTTTGAGGTCAAGCAGGGCGAGATGCTGGGCTTGCTGGGTCCAAATGGTGCTGGAAAGACCACGGCCATTAGACGCTTTGTTTTTCCAAATGGGTCGGAATCATCGAAGTTGTCTCACAGGTCCAGGAATCGTCCAGTTTTTGGCACGCGACTGAGGATGTATTACTGGCGAAGAAGCTCCCAAAGAAGGATCTGTTTGTATCAATTCTGAAAAGTCTGGTGGCTCATGGATTGGATTGTGCCCACAGGCAGGGTCTTCAAGGGCAGGTGAAAGGCTCAACAGTTGTGTTCAGAGTGGTGATCCTGTAGTTGGACATTAGACATTCGTGTTGGGTGAACGCCCCTGAAGGAGACTGTCATTAATGGCTCCTCGGCATAGAAGGGAGAGTCCCGGTTCGACATCGTCCCGCAACTTGTCAAGGTGACCTCACTGTGCGGGAGAATCTCTTATTCTTTGCTCATGTTCGAGGCAATGTTTTTTTGCTTGGCTTTATCACCGGTCCTTTGACACAGCCCTGAGAGGTGCAACTGCAGATGCTGAGAACTGTGTGATGAGCATTCTGCGAGCAACACGTCTCGAGGAGAAGCAACACAATTTACCTGATGCGTGACTCTGCCAGAATAGAAATGAATAGATGCCATCAACCCAACAGGACATTCAAGCTCTTTGTGAACTGAAGTAGGATTTTCAACAGGCTGCCCTTGTACTTTCTTTGCGCTGTTTAACCGGAATTGTGAGAATTTCATGAACTTTGACACGCCCTGTTTGTCCAAAAGTTGAGGCTGAGTGGAGGAATGCGGCGGCGGCTGGCTGTAGGCAGCACTGTGTAACCATGTTGCACCCCAAAGCTAAGCAAAAGATTAAACCGTATATAGAAGCAAGAACAGACTTGTGACCTTTTGCGACTGAATTACTCATTCTGAGTTACTCGCAGGCTGCGCAATGATTGCAAAGCCTTCGGTGGTGATTCTGGACGAGCCGACCACTGGCCTTGACCCGGTCAGTCGGAGAGGGATTTGGGAGACGATTGGGGAAGTGCCTCCGGCGAAGTTATTCATGGACAGCGCACGGTCATAAAGACATAGACAATCCGGTCGATGTGATTGATTTTGCACAAGAGAGGGATGCCTCAGCTTTCGTGGTCTCGTGTTGCTTCTGTACATGTCATCATGGCGCCACCCTTCCCTTTTGCTCTCAGCATTCGTAGCACCATGACGGGCCATTCCCAAGCCAGCAGCTTTGCAGCACAGCTTTGCAGCACAGCCCAGCTTTGAGTAACCCTGGCAGTTTGTGGAGAGTGGAGAGTGAGTGATGGCCAGTGCTTCGAAGTTGAGGAATTCCAGATCGACGACGGCTCCTGGGCCCCAGAGTCGGCTCCTGTGCCATAGGCTCGGCGGCCATGCTGTCGTGGAAGGCTGGGCTGATCGGCAGATTGGGTCATTTGGGTTGGTCGGACATGTATCGAAACAAACATTTGACCAAACGAGTGAACCAGCATAGCTGCATAGCGTTGGACTTCTGACTCAGAATCATCTCTCTACTCTCCTTGTCCTGTGAGGCTGCATCGATGCCTTCAAGCTTTGTACAGCTCCCAGGCCATATGTCATCATATTACTGTATGTGTTTCAGCGAAGACACTGGCATGGCACATTGTTGCCGCTTGCCATATGTTGCCAGGCCGAAGCATGTCATCATCACAAATGCATCCTCGGCAGTGGACGTCGCCGCATGTTGCCAAGCAGCGAACACATGTGCGGACCTACCAGGCAAGGCCAGTGCAGATTGAGAGGCTATTTGAGGGAAAGGAACACAATGCCTAAAGGATTTTTTGGGAGATAGCAGGAATGGCACGAGTGATTGAGCCAAAGCCAAAGTTTTCTATGCAATGACTAAGGCAGCTGCAGTCGCAGCTGCTACTGCTTTGGTGATGCCACGAAATCGCTGTCAAATGCGGGCGGAGCAACCAGAAGTCGTTGACACTGAAAACGCAGACCTTCCCGAAGTGGTCGAGGGAGAAAGCCTGCAAGCTGCACCAGGAATTTAAAACAGGATTCCCTGGGTTGTTGCCCAGACAGCTTGAAAACAAGCTTGAAAACAACCGATTCAGCGGACAAGTCATGATATAGTTGAACGAGGCCAAGCCGCCAAGCCCTTGACCAATGCTTTGCTGTCCCAAGGCGACATCCAAGCCTATGGTGGCTATCCTGAACCACCTGCGCGGATTTTCGAAGGCACTGAGGAGATTGATCTTGAGAAAAAAGATAAACGGCCATCTGGGTCAAGTGAGAAGGGCACATACTTCTGGAAAATGACGCAAGATAAGAGATTTATTGAGGTTGCTTGGCTGAAAGTGTGTGACAAGGATGTTCTGGATGTGCCATGCCACACAGAGCACAGTACATTGCACTTGATGCCTACAAGAAGAGAGAACAAGTCCGTCACGCGGGTGAGGTTGTTGTTCCAGTCGATGACTGGGTCGAAGCGAAAGACGTCATCTACCGGGTGGGTGAGGAGCTGGGTTGCTCCAACCAGACCAACTAACTTGCGTAAATATCGTGTTCCTTGGACATCAGCGTTGCTGTGTGAAAAACGATAGGAGCCCGAAGACCCAAGACGTGGACCCACCTTGCAGTTGGGCTATCGAGTCAAAGGCCTGGACCACAACAAGATCAGAAACAAGAAGGGCAGCTGCGCTGGAAACCGTGTTTGAAGATTTGTTGAAGTAAGTTGGACCTATGATTTTCCAGTGTTGCAGTGTTGCATGGCATCGGGCAGGAGAAGATGGCAAGTTCGAAGAGAACCTACTCATTGATGGGCAGGTTCTGAATGCGATAACAAGGCTGAGTAGTTAAGTACGCTTGTCTATTGCACAAGGTTTACATGTGGCAGGGTGGTCGGGATTTGCTTGGGTTCTTGCCCTATGTATCAGGGAAGAGTCCTTTTGGATTTTGGACGACATGGTCGGAGTGAAGGCCTTTTCGCGGACACGTGGCGGCCGCGTCTCACGCCATTTGGTGTTGGGAGTGCCAGACGAGTCCAGCTGTGAAGGTGATCATTCTCACGCTTTCACGACCTCGAATGAGGAGGCCGGCTGATTTGAAAATCAGGTCCCAGGCCCAGGCCAAGTCCCAAACAGGCAGCGTCATGATCCCATTCTCCGAAGAAAGACTGAAGAGGAGCAGCAACGCACATTGGTGTCAGAAGGTGCTGGCTGCTGGATTCTGTGCTGTTCGCTTATGTACATCTATACACTGTAGCTGTTTGTCGTTGTTAGCTTTGCTAGCTTGGCTTGAACTTTCTCCTTCCTTCGGATCGAGGAGAGAATAGAGCCACAGACCTGGGATGCTTTGCTGGTCTAGCACTGAGGATAAAAAACGAAGAAAACCTTGCTGAGACTATGGATGTGGTTTGCCTCAGAACTGATTGAACACAAAAATACCACATTTGAAAGGGGTGGGCTTTGGGTCAGAACCAATACCCATAGGTGGAAGACCGTGATACCCCAGATGTCACGCACAAAGTCTTCATGGACATCGAGCTTGAAGGCGGCCCTACCAGCATCCATGTCTCGGTATTCACTGTTCGGATCGCTTCCGAGCGATCCGAAACATGGCGAAAGATGCCAGGCAAACCCGCGGGAAGGATGGAATTTGGGCCCCACAGCCGCACTTGTTTTTGGTGTTTCATGATGTGCTTGCGTGAGCCTGGAAGCATGGACTGAATAGCAAACATGGGCAGTTTTGGCTGTTTGGATTATGAGAGACTTCCTTGATGCCATTTCGGCCCAGAAGAGGTCCTTTCGAGAACACTTTTGGGGCCCTTTGATTTCAATTCTCTGAGAAAGCGATGCTTCGCTTCGTGTGCCCGTGGGCCATGCTCATGCTGGCCAACGGCCTAGATGATGCTTTGCCAGACAATGATGAGTGCAGCGTTGGGGAGTGTGCCCTTAACGCACTTCAGCGCAAAGCCCAAGGCACCAGCACATGTCAGGATGCTGTGCCTGGGGATGAATGCTACAAGAACATCATGTGGGCGAAGCACACCGGAATCAAACAGCATCCCCACTGGTACCCCGGTCTCACATCACACTCCAGCAATGCCGATTTTCAAGAGATTGTGCACGCACACAGCCCCAACAAGTGCGGGGTTCCATGCGCGAAGACCCAGGGATGCCATACCGCTCTACCAGGAGAGTCCTGTTACAAGGATGTGATGTGGGCAAAGACACATGGCATCCGAGAGCATCCACATTGGTACCATGGCCTTTCGTCTTCATCCACCAATGAAGACTTCCAAGCAGACGTTCATGCCAAACGTCCAGACAAATGCCCCATGCCCTGTACCGCACAGTCGTCCCCACCAGAGGTTGCGCCAGAGCCTCCAGTGGTGGAAGAACCACTTCCAACCACTGTTCCTCCAACCACTGCAACAACCACTCAAGCAGCTGCTGAAGTGGTGGAGCCCGTCATTCCAATCATCCCAGATGAGGAGCCAGAGGATGAAGAACCTGAAACAACACGCCGTCCTCAGCATCATCAGCAGCAGCAGCCGCACCCACAGCCTCAAACCCATACGCCTTCACCTTGCCCTCAGCATGATCAGCATGAAAGGGAGGCTTGTTTTCAGGCCATCATCAGGAAGGAACAACTTGATCGAGAGCAGCGTGAAAGGGAGGAGCGTGAACAGGAGCAGCATCGCACGGAGAACATGCCCTTGGATGAGAGGCAGCGTGAGATAATCAGTGAGATTGGAGGAGTTCCCACAGAGGATTCCCTTCCAGACTTTGATGATTTTGATCCAGATGCTTGAAGAATAGCACAATCATAATCCTTGCTCTCCTGCTCCCCTGAAATAGTCGCGAACTCTTACTTTTGATCCGGTGGCACTGCAAGCCTGCAAACGCTCAGGATAATTCGTGTTTGTTGGACCACTCTTGCTGAACACCTGTGCTGGAGCAAAATGGTTGAAGGCGTTTTTGTCAGGTCTTGGTATGTTGCATACAGAAGGCACTCTAATGTGTGAGGGCTCTATTCCCAAAGCTTGTCAGCTTAGGCTTTTTGGAGCTGCGCTGCCCAAAACTGTCGAAAACTTCCGTGGGCTTTGCAACGGCTGCTTTGGCAAAACCGTGGTGTCATCATGCAGTTTGGTAGCGCTGGATGCCTCGACTCGATTTGACACCTTTTCCAAGGAGAGTATACCGATGCAGAAGGACGAACAAAACTTGCTTTGCCCGCTGGAAAATCAATTGCACAAGCCTTTGGGCCTCAATGAAAGGACAAGTCAAGAAAGCGGCTTTTTGCTACAAGCCTCTGAGCTGCAACAATTGTGGTGCCGCTGCAGGCCTGCCTGTAAGACTCTCAACAGCTTGCCGCTGAGGGGGTCAACATTTGGCACCATCATGGGCCAGCACATCATGTCAGCAGGACGCTGCTTTGGCACTGACCTGTCTTTTTGTGTGGGACCCTTTGACAATAGGTAGAAGGTAGATGACTATTCCACCCATACTGTGCCGCACAGTTCTGGGTACTGCTGTCGGAAATCAGGGAGAGACCAGTTCGTTTGTAGTTGATCCAATGGCCACGCAGGAAATGCTGGGAGGGATGTGGCGATGATGGAGTGACCCGGCTGCGGGCGGCATGTTGATGTAACATTGGGGACAGACACTGTGAACATCGCAGTCCAGTCAGGCTTTCTGCGGATGAGTTGGAAGACTACAATGAGTTCTTCAAGGCCTCTTTATTCAATGCCTTTTTCTGCCTGTATCCCTACTGTTTCCACCCAGCTGGACAGGACTTTGATGCCCGTCCTCGAACTGTTGGGAAGGCACCCTTCCTTTTTGTAAATCAGGCACTGCACACATAAATAATTCGCATTGTTGGCCCTCACTTGACCCCCTTTTCCAATTGCAGGTCAAGCTGGGCTGGGCTTTGCGCTGGGGTGGAAGTTTGGGCTTGGGCGAGGACGTGTTTGGAACGCAACGAGTGGAAGGGCAGGCTGGAAGATGCAGCTGGTGCTTGCAATTATACATATACGCACATGTCTCTCTTGACGATCCACTATTGTTGCAAGGCGATTGCCCTTGACCGCCGTGGGCTGAATTGATAGAAGTTGGGAGCAACCCTTGTATGCTGTAGTTGGAATATGAGATATATTGTTTTCTTTGTGGGATGAACGAACCGCCACCGATTTGTTTCACTCGAGGTGACAGCGAGCTGAAGGAAGTAGTGGATATCCTTGGCAACCTAGTTGAGACGCCTGGCCAAACAAATCAATCCAATTCTCCAGTCAAGTCAGCCTCTGCTTGGTGTCTGAGGAAGGGAGAAGGTGCCAAGCTTTATTTCTACAAGCCAGAGTGGGAAAAGGGCTGCGACATGACGGGAGGAACGTTTAAGGCAAAAGTGGAGTTGACTTTTTTTGCTTTCGCTTTGCTGGAAAAGCTTCAGTGAGTGGAGGCTGAAGGCTTCAAAGTTCCTCACATGAAGAGGGGAATGCTAACCATGGACCGACATGAAACGCAGGACGGGGAGCTTCAAAGACGGTCCCAATCCAACATTTGGTGTGTGTGTGTGAACATGCAGTTTGTATTGTACCAAGCCCCTTTTCGAAAGGACTATCAAGGCTCCGTGTTCTTTATCACCTTGAAGGACATCAAGTGGTTCGGAATGCTCAACTAGATTAGCTCGGAATGACTTGTCAATTTCATGGATCAGGAATTGGATGTCTCTGGCATAGTGTTCGATTTCCTCCATCACACGTGGAGGAATTCCCACAAATGGACAACCGCTGGGTGTGCTTTGGTGAGATTTTGTCCGGCATGGAGTTGCTGAAAAAGATTGAGGACCGACTCTGCAGCGAAGCTTAGCTGCCTGATTGCGCCGATGAACATCACTCATTCTTGATTGAGATAGTTGTGCCCTGAAAGGGTTGTGTAAAGTCGAGGAAGTTCAGGGATGCGCCTGCCAATTCCCATGTTTCTTGCGTCAGCTTCCACTCCGCTTGATGCCTTAAACTTGCAGGATGAATATGAAGGACGAGCTAAGCAGGTTTGCATTGCTGATTGCGGCGAATTGCGGCCTGAGGACTAAAGAAAGATCCCTTGAGAATGTCCAATCATTGCAACTCAGCATGGGTCAAAACATGTCAAAGCCCAGAAAATCATCAGTCCAGCATGAGATAGAGTCAGATAGAGGCGGGACAACATGGAATATCCTTCCTGAACTGCCTGACATACCGGCCGGTGATCAAAGTTATCAAAGTTTTGACCCACAGTCCGTCACGAACCTTGCAAGAGGTTCGTTCGACGCAACAGAGTGCGGGTATTTTCAAAGCATCACTGCGGAAGATCGCGGTCTGATGCACCCGTAAGATGTATCCGCAAGAAATCTGATCTTTCAGATGCCTCAGATAACAAAAATATGCGTGTCAAGCGGTGCTAGTCACGGGTATTGCCCACCAGGTCTGCCGGCATTGTTAGGAACTTGCCAGGTCAAACGGGCAGGGGGATGCTGCCTTTTGACCACTCACATGCCACTCGGCATTCATCAGCGACCTTTGACATATACTGCTGTATATGCATGCCTCCGTCCGTCCGTCCGTCCATCCATCCATCCATACAGACAGACAGACATACATACATACATACAGACACACACACACACACATACACACATACACATACACATACACGCAAGTCCGGAACACGCTGGCGCTCTGACCGCTCCCTCATGTGGCATAATAGATCTCTCAAAGGTCTTGGTCACTTTCAGTCTTCCAGTTTTTGGCGCTTCTATTCTATGCGGTTTCCTACCTACCCGCGCAAAGAGAACAATGAGTATGTGGAGACTGGGCCCGGTTCCCGCTGCGGGCTTGAACTTCTTGCCCTGTGGCTGCGTTAGTCTGCACGTAACGTTGCGTTACTGATGGTGACTTTTTCGTTTTTGGCCCGCGACTCTTATCCCAACCCCCGCTGAGTTTTTCGATACTTTTTCGTTGCCGCGCGCCCCATCAGGAAAGTCTTTCCACCAAAGCTCGGCGTCAGTGCCACTGGCGCACACACGGCAGAGTTCTCTTCCGAACAGTGGAAGCCGCTGCGGAAAGCCACTCCGTCCTCAAGCTTCGACCGTCCGATTCGCCAGAGGTCGTAGTGCCAAGGCGCATTTGCTGAGGATTGCGCGCCGCCTGCTTGCTTCCGCTTTCGCGCCGACCTGTCGTGCATCTTGCCAGGTTGCTGTCAGAGAGTCAGAGAGCTGAGACATTCAGCGAGAGGGGTGCGAGGCAGCACACGGAGCAGGCTGACGAGTTTTTTGCCAAGTTAATAGGCGGTTCCGGTGCGTTTTGCAGCGTGCCGCGCAGATCTGAATTCGAACCTCGGTCGAGAAAATTTGTCTGTAAAGTCCAATAGCAAAACTGGTAGCCAAAATGCAAAAAACCGGCAACATAGAGGGATGGCCCAAGTCAGAATCAACAAAGCAACAAGGTCAGACAGCCAAACAGATACCGCCCAATGGAGGAAACCGATGCAGTTCTTGTTGATAGGTGGTGTTGTTTCGTGTTGACGTGTCTTCTCTCTGCAAGCAGCAGACAGAGCAGGCAGCTGTGGGCTTGAAGCAAAGGCTGCTTTGAAGGAAGAGAAGTGAGCGAAGGCAGACAGGTTCGATCAGACAGTCAGACAGCACGGAGTGAGAGACAGAGAGACATTCGGGAAGCGTCAGTGTGTAGAGAGCGAGTGCAGGGAGGTTGCAGCTATGGCCAAGAGTTACGCAATGACAGGCAAGTTAGTTAATGAGTGACTTAGCTAGGGAAAGTCAGTCGTTCCAGTAAGAAGAAAGCAGAGCCCACAGCCAGGGCAAAGTTGCAGCTGGCAAAAGAGCTAGAGAGCTTGAAGCAGCAGCCAGAAATGTCCCGGCCCGCAGCGAAGAAGAAGCTCCAGAAGAGTACCAGGCCTGCCGTTCGCTGGTAGAGAAGGCAGGTGAGAAAGAGAGACTTGAGGCCTTTTGCCAGACGAGACAGATGGGTGCGCAGAGCCGCCCTGGGAGCCAGAATGCGCCAACAGACACAGAACATCAGCCCAGAGGAGGCAGAGAGGATGTTGGTAGGGTGGGGGCTGTACGACTACGCCTTGTGGAGAGCCAGGCAAGCAGAAGCACTGAGGCAAGAGACCGTCATGGAGTTACGGTGCCTCTGGCCTTTGAATTTGCAGCTCCGGCATCAACCAGCCATACCTCCATCTCCATGAGCACCAAGCACACCAGAGGCAGGCCTCAAGATGCACTGCAAGTCCCGTGGCCTCCAAGCACCTTTAGATCAGGAACAGCGAGGTCCTCTCCACCAGTCTCATGCAAGAGTGCAGCCACGAGGGGCTCAACTGACTTGAAGACTCAACTGACTTGAAGACCATGTTCCAACAGGGCCCCCCACCAGAGCCCACTCCGCATGGCTACCTCACAGCCCAGCACGGAGCTGTCAGCTCCTAGGCGAAGACTGGCCCCGCCTTCAGGACGCAGTCATGACCGCAGAGGTCGACGAGCCTGAGACCTTCATGACTGTGGACTATTTCTGAAGCGGGGCTCACCACTTGAGGGCGGGCGGAGCCTCGGCTGTACACGTGGAATTTGCTCGCCTGTACACGCGCTTGGATTTGCTCGGTCGTGCACGCGCTTTCTCGGTTGCGCACGCCGCTTTGCTCTGCTGTATGAATGAATGAATGAAGGAAGGAAGGAAGGAAACAATTAGCAAAAAGGGATCATCATGTAGATGAATGTCTAGAGGGACGCTATTGACACGAGCATGTGTGTGGAGACCTGACCCAACGACACATCATGAAAGAGTGACATATCGTGTACACATCACATCAAACCAATTTGTGTGTGCGCAGGTGAGCGAAATCTGTGTGCGCAGGTGAGTTTTGAGGTATCAGGCACAGTTTGAACAAGGATGTAATCGATGTGTGCGCAGGTGATCGAATCCTGTGTGCGCAGGTGAGTTACTTGTATCAAGAAAAGCTGTGTGCACAGCTGAGCGAATCTGGCGTGCGCAAGTGAGGCGCCGTCCATTGAGGGCAACATGCCCAGCCGAACCGGCACTCGCCCAACTCTTACCTACCTGCCTGCCTGCTTGCCTGCTTACCTACCTACATACATACACACACACACATACACACATAGACACACACACACACACACACCCCGCAATCTACGTTTTGCTCTCCGAGGGCTTACATTTATTTGGGTTTGCATTCCGTTGAACTCAGTTCTCTTGCTCGTGAGGCTGGAAGAAGCTGAGCACCTGGCGAGCTATCTTGCCGGCATCTCAGAACTGGGAGGGTGGCCATTGGGTCAAAGGCTCATATGTCGTACTGTTTTTAATCTCGACGTGACTGACCGAAATCGCGGTCACCGAGTGGTCAACACTCGTTGAGATTCCTTTGGGCGATCGGCTATGAGTCGAACACTTCAGGTGATCCTGAGGAATGGTGTCGTGGCAGCTCAGGGCTCGGTTCCTTGGCTGGATCTAGATTCCCCTTCATCCCGGTGTGAGGTCTTTCTAGTCCTTGTAGTGAATGGGGTGCACATGTGATGCGATGCAGGTTCAAGCTTTGAAGCATGAATGGGGTCAAGGCTACATGCTGAGTGCCTTGGTTGAGAGTCAGTGAGCAATTTGAATTTGCAAACAAAGGGTTTCTGCACAACTCTAGAAGAATCAGGCGTGGACTGCGAGAAGTCTCAGGACAGGTTTCCATTTGACGCAGATGTTTGCAGCTTCGGAGTTTGGATTGCTTATTGTGATGCTGCTGCTACTATGTCCTTAGAAGACAGGTCACCCAATTTCACCAGTCGCAAGGGCCACCCTTTTTCTTGTGTGGTTTTTGAGAGGCCTGGCATGGTGTTTTGTTTGGTCGGGTGAATCGGGCGAATCACAGGAAGTCGAGGCCCAGGAGTTCATCACGTCTCTCTTGGACCCCGAGGACCAGACGCCGGTCAAGTCGCAAAGGCCAGTGACGATATGTCATCCAGTCGCAAAGGAGTGTTCAGGAACCAATGGAATCAGAGTCGTTCAGAAAAAGGGCTGTTCATTATCAAAGTCGTAGGCAGAAAGGACCTAGAATCAGAGGCTGTGAGAATCGTGAGAAGTCACCAGATTGCAGGGACGGGCAGAAGACGTACAAGTTCTCCAAAGATGAAGAAGCACTTGGGCATCTCATCATCAGCATAGCACGTGGGAAGGCCGGAAACGAAACGAACCTCACGTGAAGAAGGAGGGATGCACCGGATGTAGCTTTCAATTCGTTTTTTGGCACCAGGCAAAGCATGGCATCCGCCATTGGGGGGTGTCACAAGCATCCTTAGAGGATGCTTATGCAGCTCGTTGAAAGCAGAACATTGTGCCATGCTGTGGTTGTCATCACTTGGCCTAGCAGCAAGAAGCTGCTAGTAGGTTGGAGGCCATTGCTAGTAGCTTGGAGGCCATTACTAATATTAGTAGCAAGAAGCTACGAACGTAACATGTCTGAAAAGGATGACGTGAACGTTCGCAACAGACCAGGTCCGGATCATCCAGCAGGATCAGATCTGAATCGTTTGATGCTGCGTGCGGAGTTCGTTCCGTCTTGTACACATGTCTTTGTGGCCAATGGTGCCCAAAGTACCGTTGGTGGGGTGAAAATGAGGAGAGATCAAAAGTGTGCTTTGATCAAGTTCAAGTCACCGCATGTGTTGCACATGTTCACTTTGATGTGTAGTTGATCACCCAGAGTCCACCCACTGAGGACCGGATCAGTGGCTTCACTTTTTGCAGCCACTAAATCAATGAAGTCGGAGGCCAGGGAAATTGAGAAATCTCACAATTGGCAAGGAGTGTTCAACAGCTTGAAACTATTGAATCCGGGATGTTCTGGTGTCCTCGCCGTGGTTTTATTTCAAGGCTCAGAGTCCGTGTTCTGACAGGTAAGCGAAGCAGATGAGGAAGAAGAGCAGCTTTACCCATTCCTCACGACGCTCAGAGTACTTAACCGACCAGCAGAGCGATTCGGTTGATTCCGTTGGTATTGATTTGGTAAAGTGTGGCACAGCAGAAAGCGATTCAGGAGTGACATGGGAAGGTGACATGTTTGCGATCACCGAGAGTTGATTGGGTCTGAGGAAACTTTGCGATGACCCAGCCTTGCAAGGCTGTTCGACCCTGAGAGCGAAGCGATCGCACAAGACGCTCGCGTGGTCAGACCACGGCCCCTCTCACAGCACCGGCCCTTCCCGGCTCAGCGTGGCCGGGCTCAACTCAGCAAGTGGAGCACCGCAATTGAGGCTGCAACTTTCCACTGGACCAGGAACAGGTGCAAATTGGGAGCTGCGAGGGAAATTGCGACATAGTGCTCATGGGTGTGGGCATTACGCAATGATCTCAGCATGCTGAATGAAGTTGCTGTGCTGTGATTTGGTTTAGCCAATCCATACATGTTGTGAAAAAAGCTCCGCTGTGATTTGACGTGTCTTTTCACAACGAGGTCTGAGATGTGTTCAGTGCATTGCGAAAAAGGTGAAGTATCAGTGGAGGCTCATATCCAGCATTGTTCCTTTGGGCTTTGTCATTGGGCCACAATGCTTGCATCTGATCGGTTTGAGACTGCCTTGCACCCTCCGGGTTGTGGTCAGGCTTTGAAGGAGGAAGGCGGCAGCACTGTTCGTGTTCTCCTGAATGGCAAGATGCTCCAGCCATTGGCCCAGCGCTGCTTCTAAGGCTTAGACACCAGACGTGCCCAATGATGTGTTTGAAACATGCACCAAGAGACACGGAAATCATGAGAGACCGAGGGGCAGCGAACGAGATCAATTTGAACGAACGAACACGAGTTGAACAGAAGCCAAGTGTTGCAAGGCCAGACGAGCCTGAGAAAATGAAGCATGGTGACTGCCGCTGCCCCAGCAACAACCTGTTAAACAGCGGCGTCTCAAGACAGAAGGGTTCAAGGGGATGTTGTTTTTTCCGTTCATGTTTTGTGACTGTCATCACGTGGGTTGTCCAGGTTTGATCCTTGGCTATTCGCATGCCTTCCGTTTGGTGGTGTGCATCTGAGCCTTGAAACGAACAGCCCAGTGGCATAGCAGCATGCCGCAGCATGCCAGAAGGGCAGGGACAACTTGGGTGGGTTTACATTCAGGAGCCAACACCCGAAAGAGTGAAACAAGCCGGATCATCGGAGGTCCAAGCCTGAGACTATTTGTTGTGTTCTAGTATTCTTTGTGCTTTCTACTTCAGTTGGTCCATTATTTCAATTTCAATGGATTTGGGGGTAAATGATGGTAACCGATTAATATATGGGTAGTATTTTTCTTATCTGTATACATCTTTATAAAGTATACAGTCTACACCTGACGAACTGACTGCGTCGAATCTCTTTTCTTTGCACTCTACTTTCAGAATCATGGAAAATCCATACAATTAGCGTGGCACTTGTTACTACTAGCTTCTTGTTACTACTAGTAAGGCACCTGTTACTACTAGCGTGGCACTTGTTACTACTAGCGTGGCACTTGATTTCTCCAGCATTCACTTCATCGCATCCTGTTCACTTTTCTTCGCCTCCTGAGTATCTGCAAGTGGCGCGCAGCACCGCCGGAGCCGCAGAACGCCTTCAAGTCACTGGTAGCACCACACTCAGAGTGTGCAGGGCCACCTTCGACCCGTGTGCTCAGGTTCCAAAGCTGGACGTTTCTTCTGCATTCGAGGAGGCTGTTTGTGTGGAAGGCAAGCAGTTGGAGGCCCGAACAAAAAGAAACACGATGTCAAATTGTTCAATGAACTTGGCAATGTTCATTGGGTCAAGGTTTCGTTTTTTGTTTGCCTCCATGCTGGGGCATTGTGGGCTAGGACTCTGGAGACAAGGCAGTGCTCTTAAATATCACAAGCCAAAGACAAGACGGCCTCCCAACAACGAGCGGAGAAAATAAATGAAAGAGCGAAACCGAAGGCTGCCGTTAAGGCTGTATTTTTTGGATTCTATATGAAAGCGAGGTGAGTGCCTTCTCCTTCATCAACAATCTCAGCAACCGAGCCTCAGCAAGCACTGTCAAGAGCTTCTTGAGCGCCCTGCCCGAAGCCCAGCTATGGTGACCAGAAGTGTTTTCTAATACGAGTGAGAAGACCAAGTGCCAAGTGCTTTCACCAATGGGCAGGCACCATGTGCATCCTTTGGTGGAAGAAGCGAACGTCATCACTAGAGAGGCCTAGATTAAAGATGATTAAAGTAGATGTGTCAAAAGATGGAAAGACCCAAGTTACGACTTGAGAAGTGCATCATTCAAAGTAGATGTTGCACGTGCAGGTCTTTGGCAACGCCGAATTGCACCTGGAGCGCTCAAAGCGCTTCAGTTTCAGAGCGAACAGTGACATAAGATATCATAAGATTCACTCAGATCAAGTCGCATCATTCGTAGGAGATTCACACTCTCACGGACGTCCTGGACTTCCAAAATGAGCCTCGTTGGTCAAGTCCAAGGGTTAACAGCCAGGCTTTGGTCAGCTTGATTGGCTTGATGCATGTCTTCCGAAGAGATGAGAAGGGAGTCGAAATCGGAAAGAAACCAAGGATGCGCCAGAGATTGTGATTTGCTGCCTTGAGCAGGGATCTAAGTGCTGGAGAGGTTCACTTCACTAGCGCTCCGCAGAAGCAAAGATGAGCAAAGAATCCTGAGAAAGAGCAAACGGTCTGATTGAAGTTGGTCCTATTCTCTTTTCCTGCGTTTCCTTTGCAAGGAAGCCCTCCCCACTTTCGCGATTTCAGCAGACTGTCAACACGGCCGGAGACCTGACACGGACTGACTGAGGGGTCAATGACGCACCAAGTTCCGTTTGTCACTTAGACCAATCAATCCCACCACCTTCCTCTCAGGTTCAGCAATGCTTGCGGGACCCGAATGCACCAACATCTTCCCAAGATTTGGCTGACAAGTGAAGATCTCAGAGAATGCTCAGCGAAGCAGACTCGGTTAATGTCCTTCGGATCTCGGTTAAAGTAGCACAAAGAGGAGAAGAAGGTCTTGGTGTCTCGAAACCAGACTGAACTGAGTCGATGGCACTGAGCTGAGAACTTCGCCCAACCGAGGCGTTGGATGTTGGGAAAGGCCAAGCATCCCTTAGCCCACGCCATGGGCCTTGACGAGTGAAGTTCTCAGGACGCCTTCCCCAGACCGTGAAGCAGATCTTCACGGAATGGAATGTTACGTAGTTTTACATGGTTTTACTTGTTGACTATGTTGACTTCCGCAAACTAGCATGACAAGCTACAGAGGGTGGAAAGCTGATCTTCACAAAAGCTGATTCGGGCTGATTAAGGCACATGTCGATTCGAGGGCATGGCCACTTGCTGTCGATCTTCTCTTTGGAAGACTTCTTGCCCGGGCCTGACTGGGAAAAAAATAGAAACCACAGACTTTGGTTGGATCGGTGCGCGATCGGCACAGTTTTTGCCTTGGGAAACCGAGGCAACGCCTCAGTGAAATCAGAGACATCTATCAGGCATTTTCCATCATTTCCCCTTTCAAGCAGCAAGGTCGTTGGCTTCTAACTTTACATTTACGAACATCTCTGTGAACCGTGTGACGCTGATTCGTTCTGCTTGGCTGGACAGGAAGCCTGTGAAACCGGCGAAGGCTTTGAAGCAATGCGATCCAATTTGGCCTCTCAGCCCCAACGTACGACCAGATCTCCTCAGGCGACCGGAACGTACTCGATGCTGAGGCTGCACATCCTTTCCAAAACCCTTGGCACCAGAGCAGCTTCACCCACACGAAAGTGTTGGCTGATGAAGCTGCATCGATCAGGTTCGAGAGACTTCGCTTTGGCCGTTGTCGATTTCAGCGACTGAGCATCACGGCCTGCCTCAGGACCAGTCCCTTGCTGAGATGGCTGCTGCGAAGTCCGCCAAAAGCACCCATCCAGCAAGCTCCACCTCCAGGCCATCGTCGTTACATGAAAAACCTTGCCTTTTTTCTCATTGATGGTTGTGGAGAGCGATAATTAAATGTCAAGTGAATTCAGAGAGGTCGTGTTTGTAAGCACTGGGTGCCAGGTGCCAGTCTTGGAACTACGATTGCACAGGCCTGACACTGGTCGAGGTTAGTCAATGTCCATTCAACAATTAGTGAATGATGTTCCTTGACAGGCTCCAGTGAAAGAATTGCAACGAAGGCGCTTGGTGGAGTGGTGCCATTGAGGGACGTGCAGGGGAAAGAGAGAGAGAGAGAGATGGAGGAAAAAGAATCCGCAAGCTGGCAGCATCATGTATATAGATGGGGGAGCCACTGTGAGGCCATCGATTGCAGAGTCGGTGCAGTCTGCTAACAGTTCTGGCCACCTCTTTCCCGTTGACATTCGCGCAAGTCAGGCCATGTTTGAATCACTCGGATTTGCAGTTTCGACCCTGGCGGGGCGATTCGGGCCTTTGCAGGACAAGGACAAGCAGTCTCCGACCCCTCGCACTGGACAGACCACCAACATCTTTGAGGTCTTGGGAGAGAATCGGAATGCTTTGAGATGTTTTATGGCGCAGGTTCTGCAAAGAGTTGTGTTATAAAACCAAAAGGGCGATGTCAGGTAAGCAGTTTGATTTTGACGCGTCGCGCTCACCGAGGTGGACAACAGCCCTATTCCAAGTCTCGGCTCCTACTTGTCCCTGGGCGAATTCGCTTTGCTTCGTTCGTGCGCTGCGAGGCGTTGTTTCAGCGTTGGCCGTCCGTGGGCGTTTCAGGAAAGCGCTCCTCACGGACACGTCCAGTGCGGATATTTTGCTGGCAGTGATGGAGCCGGGCGAAGGTGGGATTGACCAATGCCACGAAGACTCAAAGACATAAGATAAACACAAATCAAATAGAGGTGAATCGAGCTCTCTGATTATATATAGATTGATTTCTCATACAATGCAGGCCAAGAATCCACCTTGGTTCATGCTCACAGTATTGTTCTGTCCCGGTCAGGCCCTTAGACGACTCTATATGAGACCATAGACACTACAGTGTTTTGTCCTTCAATGTCTTGGGAAAGCTTCCCCGTGCAAATTGCCAAGGCTTCCATTCTTCCGTCGATTGATTGCAGAAGCTTGGGCAGAAATGATCACTTGCTGCCCAATATAGACTGTTGGAAAGCCACTATCCGAACTGCTGCGGATGGAGCCAAACGATCTAGAATACACAAACTTAAGTCTAGGATTTTAGTAATGAAACATGCAAATCTCTACAACTTTGAGAGCTTGTTGTAGTACGTGGACTAACTCGAAACTCATCGATTCTTTTTTGGCGTTGGTCCGGAGTTTGGGTGGAGTTCATGCAAGAGCCGTAGCTCAACGGACCCTTTTGTAGCTCCGTTTTCAGGCTGCAAGTCTCCAAAGATAGCCACAAGTACATGTAGCATCATGCAGCCAGAACCGGAAAATGTGCAGCTTTGGAGCAGCTGTGCACGAGTTCAGGACCACAAGGCAATGGGAAAGTCTCCCATCATCGCTTGGTGCTGAGAGTCTAAGATCTTCCCATCAACGAGAACAGACTGTTCGGCATAAGGTGACCCTGTTCTGAGGTTCCGCATGCCCTGTCCGTGTGCATTTTGCGCCAGCTCTTGGTCTATGCATACACGGATAGTGTGCGGGCCCATGAGGTTTTAGACTATACCAGCACCCTTAAAGGACGTGATATCTAAAGGCAGTGTATTCATGGCAGATGTTTAGTCCCTTGTTCAGGCCAAGGAAGCAACTGCCAATCTTTCGCCCAACATGCTTCGACAGCTCCAGAAGGCGTGGTGGGGGGTCAACACCCCCTATAGCGCCATCCCGGTTCAACTGAAGGCCCCCGCTTGTTGGACCACCAGGCAAATGTTGCCAATCCTTCGAGACTTGCCTCGAGGCTGCCTCCAACTGCAGCATGCCGGAACTCTGCAAGGAAGGGCTTTTACTGTGGCGAATGGTGTGGGATGGGTGGCAAAACGAGGGCCCCCCTTAATAATGTATATTAAGGGGGGGG